AAAGAATGGTCTCCGATATTCTTTGAATACGTTTTCAACGAAAAGAGTTACAACGTTGAAGTTTTCAACGAAAAGAGTTACAACGTTGAAGTTTTCAACGAAAAGAGTTACAACGTTGAAGTTTTCAGCATGCGACAGAGGCCAGTTTGAGACGCAGATCTATGAAAAATTCCACTCCGGATCAAGTTTACCATGACAAGCCATTCCAAACAAGATGTCCGAACTTGCCGCTCCTAGACCAAACAATGAATTTTGAATTCTAAGACATCAGCTAGAATCACCAGACCGTCTTCTTCCAAGCTATTCGCGATTCAAGTTTTCATTCTCGGTGGCTGAGGTATTATACAGGTTTTTCGTGAGCCTACCTGTGGAGTCAACTTCGTATTTTGAAACTTTCAAAACACATGGAACATAGGTTATCGACCACGCTGAATCTCATGCCAATGTTTATTTTTCGTTAAAGCTTTAAAAGACTGGTGAAAATCTACATTAGACAAAATAAACTATTTTTCACTAGTCTCGCCGAAAGTTAAAAAGCTCATAACTCAAAATTATTCCAAATTGCGTCGAAACGTCAAGATATACTCCGTTTTATCTGTGCTACACCATGAACTTCGATCATAGTTTTAAAACCCAACAGAAAGTACTTTAGTTTTCGAAAGGTTTTCTAGAGTGTCAAATTTCGACTTTGGACGCACAACTTTTATGTAATCACTTTACAAGCAGTAATTTATTCTGTGAAAGAACAACATATAAAAGCAGAAAGGGAGTGACATGCTATGTTGTTGAATATAAAGAAAGAAAAAAATCCTTTGTGCATAGCTTAGGTGCTGTGTTGTCATCAGTTTGAGGAGAGTGAAGGTTTTGAGAATGATGAAACTTATCATTCGTGGGCGAAGCCTCTAAAAAATAGCTTCTGAAGCTTAGTTAGCCTATCTGAAGTTGAATGTTAAAACTCCAGCGTTTGCATATTTGTTCAGTAATCTTTTTCTGATCGAGCTGTAGGAACGAAAGTATTTTGTCAAACCGTGTTATATCGTCTGTTCATTATAATTAGTGACTGAGAGATGATTAGCTCCTTTTTCGCAGTACGGCGAAGCAAATAATAATCCAGGAAAACTAATATTCTGAAAAAAGTAGACGCTTAAATAACTTGACCCTTTCTTTGTCTTTTTTTTCTTAAAGCCATTGAGAAAAATATCCATGGTTTCTGCTCGCCTATGATATTATATCTGTGAAGAAAAGACAAACCCTAACAAAAGAGAAAAACCATGAGCCATATTCATCTCCTGATGAGTCGACACATCTTGCTATATTTTTCTACGTTCAGTCTATGTAATACAGCTGTCTGTATGGTCAGATTTCAAGCTATTTGACGGCCATATGTTTCAAAATGTAGATGGATTAGTGAAAGTTTTCATGGCTGGATACAACAAATGGAGATTTTTACTAGAACACATTGAGAATTCTTTTCACCCTGTCTTGCAGGTATAGCTCGAGGCCAGATTAAGCTTTTGGGAAAATCGACAATTTAAAAACGCACACACACGGACACAAAGTTAGTCACAAACACTTCTCTATCAACGCTTCGTCCGATCAATATAGTTCCTTGGAACTTTATGTTTGATATAGTATGTAGATGTTCCCTTTCTGCAGACCAAATTTTATCCGAGCGATAGTTCGGGGATTATATCGTAAATATTACTTTTTTTCAGCATACTTATTATTCTATTTATGAGCTGAGTCACAGGCAATAATTAAGTGATTCTCGATACACGATGTGCGTTATTGTATGTGAGTCACGATTAAGTGTGTTGTGTACGCCAAAGAACACAGTGTCTATGTGTATGTAATTAAATTTGTCTTTAGTAAACACAAAAAGTGCAAATGGGCACTCTTTAATTTTAAATCCCAAAGCTGGTGGCCTAAGGACTAATTTACGTTGAACATTATTTCGAAAACTGTTATAATACTGGAAAACATCGAATCGTTACACAACAAGACTGGGTTTATAGACAATATGATCAATCTTTGACATTATACTCCCGTCAGCATAATCTCTATAACGTCAAGATGTGCCAACTAATCCTAGAAAAGGCTGAGGAAAAAACGTTAAATTAATACCATTAAATATTACCAAAAACTGAACCGCCAAACATTTTATATTTATAGCAACACCCGTAAATAAAAGGAACCAATAATAAAAATCATGTAAAATTCTAAATACATCCTTTAGTGTACTATATCTATTTTTTCAGAAAAAGATGTTCTGGATATCCAGTTTCTAACATCACTTGCTTCCTCCATCTCCAATGTGAATTTCAGGTTGTTGTGTCATCTCTTGATTATTTCTTGAAACTCACGGATCTTATATGCTCATCGATCGTAAAAATGCAGAAAATATCATCGACATATCTGAGCCGAATGACGGGCTGTTTTTTGGAAATCGGTTCAACTTCTCTTCCATTTTAGTCATGAATACATCAGCCAGAATAGAAGCTAAACGGCTTTTCCAAGCGTGATGCTGTGACATTTTTGACACAGTAATTTGAGCGTTTCTCAGAAAGTGTAAGAGCCAGAAACTTCGTTCTTGCACCATTCGACGCAGCTCGCCATACTGTACTTTTGGTACAAAAATGAAGGTGTGTGGTAAAGAAGTTTGCAGTACTAAACATTGTTCAAAGGATATCATTTTCACATCAGACATCTAATATAGACTAAGGCGAAAATAAAGCTGAAAAATTGTTTTCACTTTCTTAGTATTGTCCTAGTCCAACGTCTTGAAACCAAGATCTTGCCGAAGATCTTACGTTAAGATTTGGCACTAGATCTTGAAAAAGTGGGTACAAGATCTCAGAACATTTTTGTACTCAAGATCTTACGCAAGACCTTGGGTACAGATATTTCTTGATATCTTGTACCCAGGATCTTGAACATTTGAAAAATCGTCATATTTCAAAACTAACTTTTTTTCTTTGCATTTTTTCAACAAGTGTTGGGAACAAAAGAAATTTACCGCTCAGTGGTGAACATTTCATCCGCTAGGACGAACGATCTCTAATGCCTCCCTGATGGAGTTTTGACTCTGCTGTCGGCTAAAACATAGTAACATTAGACACAAAATAGAATGTTCATATATAGGATGACATCGCCAAAATAAGACGGTGAATGATAACCAATGGTTACTCAAAGATCTTTGGTACAGGATGTCAAAATATTTCTGTATCAAAGATCTTGAGCCATGATCTTGGGTACAAGTCATTTTACAGTCAAGATCTTGAATACAAGATAATTTTTAGGATTTTGTACGCAAGATCATAGGCAAGATCTTAGGGACAAAAATATCTTGACATCCTGTACCAAAGATCTTGCCAAGATCTTTTCGAAAAAATCTAAGATGTCAAGACCTTGGTTCCAAGATGTTCGACTAGGGTGTGTAAGAACCTTGAAACTTAAAACTTTATTAAAAAGCTTGTTTTGAGTCTAGGCTTCAAAAGAAACATACAATCGTATAGAGAATCGAATTCTCTATCGATTAGTATGGCCTTCCATTTTTATTAGGAAAAGTGTCTAGATGAGGAAATTAAAAATACAGTTTTCAAAAAATGTAAAACTAGATTTTTGGGTACCAAAATTTAATTTTTAAAAAAAACTAATGTGAGATTCGTAATCAGCGCCAAAAACTGCATCTAGTGATATGCTCCTCTCAGTTCTACTCTAAAATAATTTTTTCAAAAACTTGATCAGCGAAGTCCCGAGTTACGTGGACAAGCCGTAAATGTTATCAAAATATGCGCATATTTTGAGAAGAACAGAAAATCGTCCTTACGTTATCAAGGACAAAACGAAGAAGTGAAGCCGATAGTGAAAAGTCAACAAGGATAAATGTGCCAACGTAGTGGAAAGAAAGAATAAATAGTAGCGGACAAACGTTCGCACGTCATATTGCCTGACGGTGATCTCTATGAGAGATCGAAAGCGCACAAATTGTATTGATTTGTAAAATCTAATAAAATGATGTTCACAGCAGTTTTATACTGCTGATACTCATAGTTATTTCAAACACTTTCTTTCCTTGCATCACTGTTGTGCAATTCTCTTTGTTTTTCCTTCTTTTTCTCTCCTCTCCTTTTAACTATAAATACCACACTTTCTTGACGTACAGACATACACAGTTCTCTTGTAACGTGGTCCTCTTCTTTTCTTTCCACTGTGTTTTCTTTCACAATAATAAAGGAGCAGGAGTAGAACCAGAGGTTCACAGATATGGCTGGTTTATTAACATTGGAAGAGATTCGCGCAAAAATCCTGCAAATGGGTTCCGCGCTCGACTTATCGGAAGACAACACGGGTATCATGGGTATTACTTTTGGCTACTCTATGGATATGGCATACCCTGCTGTGTTCGTAGACGAGAAGGGATACCATTGGGTGATTATAGAACGAGGAACGGAGCAGTCTCGAGATACAACAAGAGATATCGATGAATTGCTCTATCTAGTCTTTCAATTCATCGTACGGACTTTGGCGAGCAAGTATGGAATGACCAATAGAGTTCCTGGACAAGATCAAAGACGCCCGATGTTTCACGAGCAAATTCGCTTGATGGGTCTGGTCAGTCCGACATTCGCAGCAAGAACAAAGAAGGAAATAGATGAAACTCTGGCAAAGTATCCATACAGTGATGAAACATCTGTTGTATGATCATCGAATTATCACACGACAAGGTTGGGTTTATAGACAATATGATAAATCTTTTATTTTGATATTATACTCCCGTCAACATGATTTCTATAACGTCGAGGTATGCCAACTAACCCCCAAAAAAAGGCTGAGGAAAAAACGTTAAATTAACACCAGTAAATATTACCAAAAACTGAACCGCCAGACATTTTATATTTATAGCAACTCTCGTAATCACAAGATAGTTATCCCCAAACCGCTCAGATGTTTAGATGAAGTTTTTTTCAAGATATCCAGATCATAGCCGCATCAAATCTTCATATCTATGAAGCTGTGTATCAGTAGTCGTCGTGCAGTGACCTCCAAAAGTATCCTGACTTCACGAATATCTTCATCTAATAGACTTCATTGAAACCCAACTCCAAAATACTCAAAAGATAACCCGGACGATACAGTACCTCTTTTTAAGATAAAGGATCTTAAAGTCTTTTCGTTTAGAAGAAAATTGAAAACTACTCTTAACTGTTTCGTATCGATGGAAATAACTTCGTTTTGCAGCGAGAATGTCTGTTACGTTTCTTTAAGTATTTCAGCTACAAAATCGCACGGCACACACATAGCGAAAAAACCTTTCTGTGTGGAAAACTTTGAATTTTCCTTTTGTTTGACGATGGGGAATTTTCAAACTATTTTTTTCTTATTCAGCGTTGCAAACTGAATAGAAAAATGGTATTAGCTTCATTTTAAAGGTACGCACAATCTGTCGTCTATTTCCACACTTTGTACGAAATTAGCTGAACTGGTACAAACAAAGTCTATCGCTGTTTATGTTTGTCCGTCATTGCTGATACGCTTCGGTTCAGTGAGCAACACAAAACATTATCTCAAAGTTTTGTCCTCTAGGGATGGAATACGTCATACATACAACTGATGATAATAAAGCAAGCATCCTCTGCCCTCTCTATCTCTATCTAATCTTTCTAACTTATATCCATTCATGCGAATATCTTCGTCTGGTATGGAGTCATCCAGCTAAGTCTCTGTGACGGCAATGAATGAAGGTTGAGTTTAAGAAGCCATCACTGAAAGAAGATCGTACTTCGTCACTTGACTTTTAAAATCTTTAAAGGCTTTAGCAGGTATACTTCGTATATTAATAGCAAAGCACCTCCATCGAGGAAGACACACTATGCGTAGTTTTAGGAGTTTTAACCGTGATCGTTAAGGTTCTGACTGACATACCCCACGGTATGAGTTGTTCGACATTTTTGAATCATAAATGCTTTTTGATGAAATGTATAATTTTTCATTAAAGCAGAATAGTTTTTTGCATTTCTTATAACGGGGAAAAGGAGAATCGGTTTGAAAAAAGAATGTACAATAATAAGAATGTTATGATGACCATAAGCAGTCTCTCTAAACGAAATTGAAGCGAGGGATAGGATAAACAAGAGAGAATTTGACGTAATATAAGCAGAAAAAGCTAGCGAGCTCATTTTATAAGTTCAACAGAAGTTCATACCGTTATCTGCTCAGAAACATTGTACTGAGAAATACTTTGCCAATGCAAATAATCAATATCCGCATACGATCGTATAAACAGTTGCTGACCATCGTCCGAATAGAAATATACTGTACCGTCTTTTGTATGAAATGAGTATCTCCTGAATACAATACTTGTACAACGCCAGATTATCTTTAGTCAAATCCTCACGTATTGATGCGTAATAAAAATTAGTTTCATTCAAGAACTGTCGATTACGATAAAATTGTCCTTGTGAATGATACGAGGTGAAACGGGCGATAATTAGTCTCGGAACTTTCGATTTCGGGTCGTATTTACCCACACGATGTGATCGAGAAATATTCACTGAATAAATATAAATAATATATAAAATATTCACTGAAATACTTCACTGAAAACAGGTATATCGAGCGCTTCAGCCATAGCTAGAACAATATCAATGGCATCTTCACTTTTGTGTTCTTTTACACCGAATATTCTTAAATTCGTACGTCGGTGTTATCCTTCTAGAAGATTTAGCCTTTGAGATAATTGTTTTTCTCGTCCTTGAAGACTGATTTCATGGTGTTGAAACTTCACCTGGAAATCATTCGTCAATTTGTCTTCATACAGTTTGATTTTTTCATCGAAATCTACTGTCAATTTCGTTTCATATTCACTAATCTTTTGATCACAAGAAGCATTCGATAGACCGTGACACTCAGATACGAAGTTGTTAGGATCGTTTTTCAACCTGTCACAACTTTCTTCACACAACTTTAGTTCTTTTTTTGTCTCATCATCTATGGCGGCCTTCTGTGGAAACCTTTCTTCAATTTTCGTGAGATTGTTATTAAATACCTTCACCTTTTCGTCGTACAACGGGAATTTAGCTTTAATTAATTTTGCGACTTGGTTAATAACTTTATTTGAATTAATAATAACATCAATGAAGTTAATTAAATCGCTTTGACTCATTTTTCTCCAAATATATTTAACGGCAGAATACTGTTGAAAGAAAAAGATTAACTAGAAGAGCGTATGATGGAATGTGGTAGCTAGCACAAAATGATCATTTTACTCACACATAGTCACTTTTGCATTTTGTTTTCTCTTGCCGGTAAATCACGTTATAAAGGAGGATATATAAAGAGAGGAGACGCGTTCCTTTATAACGTGATCTAACGGCAAGAGAAAACAAAACGCAAAAGTGACTATGTGTGAGTAAAATGATCATTTTATCACTGTATGGACATTTGTGTTTATTTTATGCTCCTGTGTGAGTCACAGTGACTCGCAAGTGATTCCATTCAAACATGGTCAGAAAAAAGTAAATGTGTTTGCCGGCAAAATCTAATTGAGCTCTAATTTTGCCTACAACATATGTTTGAAACACTATTAATCTAAAACGGTACACTTTAGTGTACAGTCCCTAGCTCACGATTCAGCAATTCAACTAGATTTTACAAAACTAATTCGATCTTATTCTATAGAGTTCGACCTCTTTTTCCCATAAAAGTACAATTTTACTACTTTCAAGTGCAGTTATCTTATTTTATGCTCAATTAGAATAGCTTTGCATCAACTGCTAATTCTTGTTCAATTGTTTTATTACTGTTAAAGAAAACACCAAAATAGACAAGCACCGAAAGTATTTACGAAAAAAAGATTATCTATGGAAGAAACAGTTTTTGTGGTAACACTCTTTCTTATTAACAAGATTTTTGACATGATCAAAATATTGTCAGACCAGTTGAAAGGTGAGTGAACAGGTCGTGCTTCTTAATCTTAAACACTCAAAGTCTTATAGGTCAGTCATTCCGAAAAACTGCCTTCCTTTTTATCTTTCTTAGCAAAAAACATTGATTTTCATAGTGCAAACATTTTGATTCAGTCTATTATGATTCAAATGGGTGATCTAAGAAGTGAAACATCATTTTCAAATCTATATGACGATATTTCACAATTTTGTACAAATAATGGTATTGATCTAACAGCTAAAGTGAAAGAATGACGTCCAAAAACAGTAACAAAACGATTTAAAGATTGCATAATTCATTCAACGCTGGGACAACGAGATGAAATTGACAATGAACAAAAATGTATATCATCATTTTACTATCCTTTGCTTGATTCTATGTTGGTCGAATTAAACTATCGTTTTTCCAACAAAAACTTAGAGATTCTTGCCAGTGTTTCTGTCGTTTCTCCTGACAATGATCACTTTTTAGATCTGAAAGCGTTTTCGGCAAATTTAAAATGTGATTTTGCTGTACTATCAAGTGAATTATTAGTATTTAAACCTATGCTGAAAAGTTCTCTATCGAAAAATATTGTTGCTTTATATTTTGAAATTAAACCTATCAACAAGCATTTCCACTGACTCTCTCTCTTATCATTGCTGCAGTGACAATTCCAGTGTCGTCAACAACATGCGAAGGTACATTCTCAAAAATGAAATTGATTAAAACAAGTGCACGTAATACCCATGAGGACATTTTCAATACATTTATCGCGATAAGTGCTTGTTTTATCGAGGCCGTCACGGAGTTTTTGCAGTTATCGAGATAAATAATTTATCGGACAAAGTAATCTTTTTATTGCAATCATTTTATTATCGCAAGTTATCGATAAACAATCAGTATCGGGGTAATGGGCTATTTTGTCACCATAAAGTAATTATGGCGATAGCTGCAAAAAGTCCATGACGGCCTCGATAAAACAAGCACTTATCGCGATAAATGTATCGAAAATATCCTTGTAGAACAATTATCGATAACAGAACGATATATCGTCTGCAAGGTATTTTTCTGTTTTCTTTTCTAATAGATCTGATTACTTCTTCAAAGATAAATAACCATTATGTTTCAAAACATTATTCTTTTATCAACCTATGAAAAACACATAGAGTTATGTGGGATAGAAAGAGTCAGTGCACGAAATTTTCTTCGTAATTTCATTATTTCTCATCCATTTTTAACTGAACGAATTCGATATTCGCCACGTTGGTAGAGACGATAATTATGCACGCACTAGTGCAAATATTTCCTGAAAATTCATGTTCGTTTTTTAGCTGTATTCAACTGGAAGTCGAGTCATTCTGATGGACTCTTTTTACCGCAGGCAGAGTAAAAAGAGTCAATCAGAACGACTTGACTTCCAGTTAAATATAGCTAAAAAACGAACATGAATTTTCAGGAAATATTTGCACTAGTGCGTGCATAATTATCGTCTCTACCAACGTGGCGAATATCGAATTCGTTCAGTTAAAAATGGATGAGAAATAATGAAATTACGAAGAAAATTTCGTGCACTGACTCTTTCTATCCCACATAACTCTATGTGTTTTTCATAGGTTGATAAAAGAATAATGTTTTGAAACATAACGGTTAAATTTCTTTAAAGAAGTAATCAGATCAATTAGAAAAGAAAACGAAGTTCCTGTATATATCTACGTAAAAATTATTATAAAATAAAATGTGGGAAATTGTTAGGAAAATCAATTAACGTGTCGACGAATTGGGACTGAATGAAAAGTTGTGTAACAGTAGAATACAACAATAGTCGAGGAATAGAGGATCAAAGAATCAGAGAAGCTGCTCGAAATATAGTAAGGAGCTAAAACAGTTGTTAAAACAGCGTGACAAACTTTTTAAAAAATATTCCTTACCAATGTGTCCGTCGACCCATTCCTATGAGGTGTACTGTCAAGCTGCCGTTAAGTTCGAAGAAGCTTGTAAATCTGCTAAACAGCATTACCTTAATAAATCTGCAACTGATTTGAACTCGTCATCATTGGACGAATGATGAGTATTATTTGTACTTGTTCATGATGTGCTGGAAAGTAAATTATTTTTTGGTTGGGCGGACCAAAGTCTGAACTTCAAAAAACAATGTAATTAACATAGCTAACCGAAAACGTTTCCTGAAGTTGAGACATTTCAACCAAAAAATAATTTACTTTCCAGCACATCGTGAACATGTACAAATAATGTTCAAAATTCATCCAATTACTTTTGCATCGTAGGTTAAGCTCAGTAAAGATGAAAAACTCGATTTTGAATCAATTTCAAACTGCGCAATGTTACGTTTGATTGTATGTAGACTTCTTTAAACTCTTGTACATTTATCGTGGAAAACAAAACAATATTATTAATTTTTGAGGGAATAAAAATTTGGGACTAAAAGGGTTAAGACGTCTCGACGGTAGCAGAGGTGAGCGGGTGATGCCGATATGTACTATCTGGTGTCTATTCTGTATACGCACCTGGGAAATTCTCAGATTAAAAAGTTAACAAATTCGTATAAAGTTGCAAGTGAGCGGGATCGATAGAGCAGCAAAGTCTCTATCCTTCTACTTAGAAAAATTAACTTTTCAACCTCAGACAATGGGCTAAAAATCTCAAAAAAGAAGATAAAATTACGTCGCAGTTCGACAACTCAGCACTCTTCAATATTATGAATGATGCTCATATAAGCAAAATGCGATCAGAGATTCAAATAGCAGGTTTTTTAGAGAACTCAGTTCGCTATCGAATAAGACTGTGACCAGATTTTAAGCACTCGAAAGTGCTGCAAAAACAGGAAAAGGTTTTGGATTGTTTATTATGGGCCACCCGTTATGTCCCCCCGCACTAGCTCAACTTGGAGTCTTTCAGATGTGAATGTGTCGATTAAAAATAGCAACGGTTGGGATTTTCGAACGTTAAGAAAGAAAGAATGAATGAAAGAAAAGGTGGGGGGGAGCTCCCAAGTTTAGAAAGAACAGAGGAAGGAAAAGGTTAAGGAAGTTTCCAATTTGAGAAAGAAAGAATGAGTAAATCAGCTATGGAAAATGTCAACGTGTTAAGCCGATAGATAACTAGACTGAAAGACAATGTATTTATGATGAATTATGAAGATAAACATTCAAAATCTATCGTTCTTCATGCTTAACGGCAAGATTGTCGTTTTTAGTTCAGAAATATTAAAATTACAGAAAAGTTAATATCAAATTTTAAAATTGATACTGCCGGCATACTCATTTAGTTTTATGCACCGAGATAAATTTCCTCGGCGTTCTGTTCAGTGGGGCAAAAGTGACTAGTTTTCTATTGCTACAACCCTGTAAAACTTAACTGTTAGCTCTGAAATTCTTTTACATAGGGAACTTGATGTACTTTACAGCCAAAACTGTATCGTGCAGAGATCTGATTTCTGAAAACTTAACCATAAAATGCGCATATAAGTAAATGAATATCACATTCGTGTTCAACACACTTACTAATCTCATTCCTGTATAACCACTTTTACATTGGTAAAGGATTGTAGATCGCCTGAGAAGACATGTATCTCTCCAATCGTCGGAATTTCGACGATCGGATGTTATTGGTAGTAAGGAGTGTCTGCTTGTTGAAATTATCGTTTTCAGTGAACGACCAAAATGCTAGATCACTTATTAGCCACCAATAAACCACGTTTTCTTACGCTCAAGGTATTGAAAGGTATCGAGACTCTTACTAAAAGCTGAGTCATCCTGGTGCCTAATCAAGACGACTCTGGCAAAAGAATGAAAAAAGAACAGCAAATTCACCTTTATATTCATAAGTCCTTTATTGATAAAGTTGTCGCCATTAATGACTATCTAATCCATACATCACATATTTTTCTCCTATTTATCCAAGAAAACATTCATTGCGATAAATATTCTTTCAATTGTAAAGTATATTTTTATCGTAATAATTGATAATCAATATACCGCACTTGAGCGTATCGGCAAGAACTTCTTTTCTCAATAAATGGTCGAAGAATCAGTGGCGAGTGAAAAAAAGAGGCGTTTATTATGAGAAATCCTGTGACACGATAAAAAGCAAAATGTCTTTATCTTCTCTGGCAAATACAGTGGCTGCAAAAAAGCAAAATAGTAATAAAAGAATTGATTGTGTATTTTTTCCATAGTAAAGAGAACTGTAAGTTATAGCTGCATTGTTTAAGTCGTCTTTCACAGAAAACTTGTAAATGGTATTTGTTTTGTATATTTCTTCCGGTCTTAGTATTACTGAAGGAAATGATGATCGATTAGGGGAATCTGGAAAATGTTGTGTTTCTAAACAGAACGAAGTTCGATAATTATCTCTTTTGTCGTTCTTAACTCGATTTGATCCATTTAAAAAATTTCCACTGTAAAATTGGAGACCAGGCTCTGTGCTATAAATGTCCATTTGAATACCATATAAATCTCCAATGACACTGGCCACATGACCTTTATTATTCAAAACAAAATTATGATCATATCCTTTTCCAGAAATTAATTGCTCGTTATTCGTTTCTTCTTTGATACCCTCGCTAATTTTTGTCATATTCCGAAAATCAAATGGAGTATTGAGTACAGATTCATGCTTTTCTCCTTTTGGAATTAGGTACGAGTCGATTGGAGTATAGTAGTCAGCGTTAATCCATAACTGATGATTGAGAATACTTCCACTACCTTGTCCGTTTAAATTGAAATACGCGTGATTCGTTAGATTAATAACAGTTTTTTTATCTGTCGTTGCTTCGTATTGAATATTCAATTCATTAGCATCGGTGAGGGTATAAATAACTTTGATGTTCAAATTACCAGGAAAACTTTCTTCTCCATCCGGAGAGAAATAAGTTAGTTCCAACGTGTTGTAGGCAGTCTGAGTGGCATTCCAAACTCGACGTGACAATCCCCTGTTACCACCGTGTAAATTATTCGGATAATTATTCGCATTTAATTTATACTCTTTTCCATCTAATATAAATCTTGCATTTGCAATTCGATTACCATATCGTCCTATAATTGCCCCGAAATAATTATCAGCACCTTCTGTGTATTGTACAATGTTATCAAATCCTTCCAAAATATCGATTATTTTTCCATTTTTATCTGGTACCCAGAGGCAAACTAGTCTTCCACCATAATTGGTGACAGCAGCTTGAACAGTATTCTTATTATTTCTAAGAATAAAAAGTGATGTTTCTTTACCGTCGATCAGTTTTTCAAATAATTCGCGAGAAGGGTAAGTAATATTTGAATCCATCGCCAGCGTCTGGTTGCTGTTCATTAGCGCAAGAAAATAATACCAGGTCAAATGTAAAATATTCTTGAACATCTGAAATGCTGAAAGGATACGTAACACAACTGTAGATAAAACTGTTCACAAAACCATATCATTTTCAAACAACACTAGAGTTCTTCCAGCTGTTCGATGAACAGAGTTTGATATTTTCTACAAATAACATTTCAACTTTTGACTAAAGCTCCGGCTTAGATAATTGGTTCTTGAAAAGAAACTCATGGATGCAGAGTTCGTTCGAAGTTCAAAATATATAAATCTGAAAAGAGAGTATTCTCCGCAAAATTATGTTTTTGTGTTTCAACTTAAATTTATTGAGTAAGATTATCTTACTCAATTTTCACTTCTTGTATAAAATCTTTCGCGAAAATGACAAGAATCCTGCTGAATCCTACAAGAAGTTGATAAGAACCCAGGCCGTGAAAAATGAGCCATAAATGAATCATTTATGTGCCATATATGGCTCATTTTTAAATCATATCTCTCCCATATTTATCTAATTTATTGTATTATAATATAGTGATAATTATGTCATTTTTTTATTGGATAAATATCATCTTATTATAGTCATCCAAATATGATCCTATTACGATCCTATTTAGATCATTTTTAGCTCATTTTAAGACTAGTTATGAGATAAGAAATGCAAAGAAGAAATACGAAACAACTCGTGCAGAGATTCGAACCCTGAATTTGTAGATCAGAAGTCGACGATGCTACTATCCATCACATCACACGGCTATACAAATATATATGTTTTTCTTTCTTCTGTTTTTTAATTTTCACTTTGAACTTAAAAAAACAACAAAAAAAAAACTAGTAATTTTGATTAATTAGCCTTTAGCTTTTTCCACAAACACTGGTTGAGCCTAGAGACTAATAGATAGTAAACTTAATTTTTGACATTTTTTGGCACCTTGGCAAAAAGGTCGCTTAAAAGCAGTTTACTGCTTAAAAAGTAGTTTTCACCTTGAAGAAAGAGTTTTCGGGGGTCGGCTTCGGAATAAAAAATACCAAAAATTAAGTTTACTATCTTTTAGTCTCTAGGCTCAACTCTGTACAGTGTTTGGGGAAAATGGTAGAAGATAAATGCGTATAATTCCATAAAAACTGCTACTTCCGTTGATGTCATAATGTCCCATAAATGACTAATCTAATACACATAAATGATATGATCTAATTATGACTATAAAATGAGACAAATACAATTGTAAGGAAATGATCATTTTAGATCAGAAGTTAAAAATGATATAAAAATGATACATAAATCGATCATTTTTACATGATCATAACAGGATCATATTTAGATCATTTTTTTACAAATTGTATCATGTATACATTATTTTTATCTAATTTTATGAAATGGCCTTGAAAATGACTCAAAAGTGATAGATACCATTTTAAGCTCATATTTAAATTAATTTAGGATCATAATATGATCATTTTCACTTCATATCATAAATGAGCCATACGTGTCTCATTTCGTGTGATCTGGGAATCTTACAAGAATTCATAAGAAATTGATAAGAGTCAGCAAAACTCGTACATTATTCTTATAACATTTCTATCAGATTTGTAAGATTCTTGCAAGATTCTTATGAGAAACATGGTCGACTCTTCTACAAAAAAATCTCACTACAGTACTGAAAAAAGACGGGTACTACCAGTGTCCACGGCATGCCATGTTGCACTGACACTGGCTGGTACCGTTACGCACTAGTTGCAGATTTTTACATTTTAACGCGTTCGTCGTACAGAGAATGCTTTTGTCCTATCATAAGCTCTATCTGAAAACGAAAAATCAGCATGAATAGAGAGTCAGGTAGTAAATTCAGCTCTCTCTTTCCGTATCTAAATAGGTAATTTTCGCTTCTCTAATAAAGTACCTTATATGATAGATACTGTTGTGTTTACTTGCTAATAATTGTGACCCAAAGGATCCTTACAGTACCAAAATTTTTACGTAGGAAGAAGAAAATATATTAAAGGTAGCAAAGGTAGAAATCATCCACGCCCAATTTTATAAATTATTACAGTTAGAAATATTAGAAGAAAAAAAACAACAATTTTAAAACGTTTCAGGAAATTCACGCAACAAACTAATATCATTTATATCTAACATTGGTACTGTATTAAGGTTAGAATTTTCTGACAACCATGACATAAATTTTTCGAACACAGAAGTGTATTGAACAAAACGTTTAGAATGAAACATCATGCAAACGAATACAGTTTGCTTTATTTATCCACAAATATCTATGAAGATTTAAATTGGGTTGTTCTAAAAGAAGAAAAGCCATCAATATTATTAGAAAGAGCAACAACGTTTTTGTTCCAATACCTAACACATCTGTCTAGAAGCGAAATTTCATCAAAAGCATTAGAGAAAAAAATATCTGATCACAGAAGGCAGAAAAATATACGCTTCAATGACGTATAATAAAAACAACCGAGATACTGTAGTTGCCTCTTAGTAAAAAGAGGGAAGAGAGAGAACAGCCAAGTGAAGGTAGGTTGAACATAATAAGAGAATCAGACGTGCATGTTTTTAGAAAATCTCCGATATCTGAGAGGTATGTGATGATTAGTGTAGGGGTAAAAATAGAACCTTGAGAACCTCTTCGAAAAATCGAAAAAAACTTCGACCTAGCTCCAACATATTCGATGAATGCTTCTCTGTCTTCTAACAAACCTTTTATCCAATCGACATACGCTTTTGGAATACCCAGTCGAAGGACATTACCGAGGCAACCCCCAAACTACAATCGAGCGAATGCGCTCTTAAAGTTAACAGAAATAGTTAGTTGCAGCTGGAAAATTGTTATACATATATAAAGCGATCTAATCAATGAGCAAAACTCTGCTCTGCAAGCAAAAATCGGCTCGAAACTCAGACTGTGTATCAGATAGAATTCCTCTTGCATTTCATATTTGCAAAAAAATCTCGATAAAAAGAGTTTTTCTTCAATCTTAAAAAATACATCTAACAAAGAAATTGGTCTGGTAGCTGTGACTGAACAAACAGATTCTTTTTTGCAAGACTCAACATATGAACTTTTTTTCATATAGAAGGAAGATAACAAGAAGAAAAAGAAACATTGAAAAAAACGACTAATAAAGACCAATATTCAATTGGTAAAAACTTGAACATTAGGAGAGACTGCCCGTGAGCGTCGCAAGAACGTTTTTTCTCTCTTGACGAAACCACTTCAATGACTTTCGTAAATGAAACAGTGAATTTTTTCATCATGATTATCCCAAATTAGTGGTGATAAGTCAACATAAGGGTGAGATCTAACCACCTCCGGTTCAGAAAACAGTTTTTCGTAATAGTTGGCCACGAGTTCGACCATTTTCGTGGGCTCTTCTAGATGTAAAATAAAACCCTGCAATGCAGAAGTAGTTGGCTTAAAATATCGTTTAGTTTCTGACCTGAAAGAAACGCAAGTGGAAGGCGATGTATGACGACATAATGAAATTAATCATAGATAACAAAACGGTGAATGGAAAAATGTGGAACTAGTGCATAACGGTACCAGCTAGTGTCAGTGCAACATAGCATGTCATGGACACTGGTAGTACCCGTCTTTTTTCAGTACTGTAGTGAGATTTTTTTGTAGAAGAGTCGACCATGTTTCTCATAAGAATCTTGCAAGAATCTTACAAATCTGATAGAAATGTTATAAGAATAAT